CCGAAGCTCCAGAGGAGTTCCATCACGACTTGCTTCACCAGGCGCTTGAGCTATTCTGTGCCCGTCCCGGCACCGCCAGCCGCCGCCGCCTCCTGATTCTCGGCTGTCTGGTCCCGCTCTTGCAGGATGGTGTGCAGCAGCTTGTCGGCCAGAGGAGCGCCGCCGCAGCTGGCATGGGTGGTCTAGGGGTGGGGGGTGGCGTTGGCGCCCTTGGTGTGGGCCTGGGGGGACAGCAGTCCTCCCAGGCCGGCGGAGGTCTGGGCCAGATCGGCGGCGGCGCGCAGGGAGGAGGAGGAGGAGGAGGAGGAGGAAGGCCGTCCGCGATGCAGCAGATGTCGCAGCAGCAAGCCGCGCAGCAGCAGCAGCAGCAGCAACAGCAGCAGCAGGGGCAGGCTCCCGCAGGAGGAGCCGCCGCGGCGGGGGGAGCACCCGGCCAAGATGGCGCTGCCGGTGGGGCCGCCCCCGGGTCGTCCAACAGCGGGCTTGGCCTGGGTGGGGCCCTGGCCTTCGGCGGCCTTGGGCAGCACCCCGCGGGGCTCGGGGAGCAGGGCTCGGCGGGCGCGCCGGGAGTGCACGACACATGGGGGGCGTCAGCGGGCGGACCGGGGTTGCCGCAGGATGGCGGGGCGGCGGCAGGCGGGGCGGCGGCGGCGGTAGAGAACGGTGCCGTGGTGCCTGCTCCGAGGAAGGGCAGGGGCGGAGCTTTGCCGGTGAGGGGAGAGAGCAGTGTTGACGGGGCGTACGTGCGGGCGCGTTACCTCTTGGGTTGTGGTGGGATGCGTTAGATGTTGCGGTTGATGTTGGTTGTGCGACACAAAAGGCTGTCGCTCCCTGCATTGCTGTGCATGTTTTCGTCCCCGATTTTGAGTGAGTGGGAGCCTTAGGCTTGTGCTCCTAGACTTGTCTTGTGTGCGGCCGGTCAGTCAACATGTCGCGCCCTGTTTTGTCTTTGGCTTTTTTGCTGCGGGGGCTCTTCGGCATGTCCTGATGGACCACGATCGTTTTCGACCCATCCTTTCGCGAATGAACAGCCGAGGGCACCGGACAGCCTCGGAACGCCTAACATGGACATCCTCATGGCCAAGGCGGAGGAGCCCACGGCTCTGGTGAACCCGCCGGAGGGTGTGATGGACCGCATTCACTTCGTGATCAACAACGTCACGACGTCCAACCTTTCGTCGAAGGTGTGTGTGTGTGTGTGCCGTTGTGTATGTAATCGGCCGTGCTTACTGCGTCTTCGGTGATTTTTATGTTTACCGACTCCGATATCCTTCCGTGCGTTTGTTTGCTGTTTTTTTTTTTCTTTCTGGTGACGAGTAGCTCACCACCCAATCCGCCACCATCATGTGCTGAAATTATTTTTAGTCTCGTTGTTGATCCACACTGTACCGTTTGTGTCAAGTCGAACGTACTGCGCTATGCGCACGACTATCACATGCATTGCGTGGCATTTAAGTAGTGTCTCCTTGCGTGGCTTTTGTAGGGCGACGCAGAAACGCATGCCCCTTCCAGAATCCAGTGGTCAGCTAACTCTCCCTTCTCCCCCCGCGGGCAACGTTGAAGGTGTCGGAGATCAAGACGCACATTCAGAACCACCCGGAGCACCACGGTTGGCTGGCCAACTACCTGGTGGTGAAGCGCATCTGCACGCAGCCGAACTTCCACGACCTTTACTTGGACCTTGTAAAGGAGCTTGAGGTGAAAGCGAGAAAGAGATAGTAGTAGACCCCCCCCCCCCTGTTTTGTCTGTATTTGGTCTTAGCCTTGTCGTGTGTCGCGCCCCCTCTTGTTTTTAGAAAGTAAACATAACCTCACAGAAAAGACTACCCGTTCGAGCCTCTTGTTTGTCTTCCGTGACTGCTGTACCCGCCTGGCCATCCAGCTATGGCTGCACGTGATCCTGTTGCCGCGGGTGTGTTCTGAATGCGTTTCCCGCGCGAAAGCTTTCTATCTCGGTCCTTCGCCGCATGGCAGCAAATGGGTCAGGGAGAGGAGCGGGGAAAACATGCATGCAGTGTAATCTGTCTCGGTCGGATGCCCACGCCCCAGCCTTACCGACACGGACGTAATAGGGGTGATTAGGACGTGATAAAATATGCGATCCTTGTCCCTGGTGCCCCGTCCCCCCGCTGCGCATATGGGATGAGAGGAACGAGCAACCAGAACACTTTTTTTTTACGCACACAACGCTCGCTCTGTCTCGTCCCTCGCTCCTTGTCCCGCTGCACACGGCCCGAACAAATCGAACACGCATCCTCGAACCCAAAAAAAAACAGACCCCGCCGCTCATGGATGCGATCCTCAAGAGCGTGTTCCACAACGTCGGCAAGCTGCTCCGGTCGCAGAAGATCATCACGTCCACCTCTGAGCGGTCCCTCCTCAAGAACCTCGGGTCCTGGCTGGGCAAGATTACGCTGGGGCGGGACAAGCCCGTCCTACAGAGGGAGCTGGACATGAAGGAGCTTCTTTTCCAGGTTGGTTGCGTGTGTAGATTAGAAGTAGTGTTTTTACATACATGTGCATGCGTGCCTCTGGTGGTATAGAGCGAGTTTCGATGCTTGTAGATACCGTACACAGCGGGAGGGCGCCAGTTGTGTTTTGTTTTTGTTGCCGGCGATGTGTGCGCGAGGAGCGTCTGTGTTTTGGCCCCCGTCTCTTTGGTTTTTTGCTGTTTCATTCTCGAGCACGCTTTGTTCCTTCTCTTGCCCTCTTCTCTTTCTTCTCCCTTACCCTCCCCTCTCTCGCTTCCTCCTCGTCTTGCTCGAAGGATGCTCCCCGCACTCTCGTGTAATGACGCCTATTCCTCGTCTTCCATTCTTGTGTTCTTTGAGCGGGCCGGCCTCAATGCACGGGGCAGACAAGCATGTTGCAGAGATTTTTGTGCGCTGGCTGTGGTGGTGTAGTTGCCAGCCCCCCTCGTGAAGACGCTGCTGCTATAACGACGGAAGTTTTCCTTGCGTGTTGATTTCTCTCGTGCGGGCTGGCGCCTCGACTTGCGCGCAGGGGTACGAGACGGGGCGCCTGATCGCGGTGACCCCGTTCGTGGCGAAGATTCTGGAGGGGGCCCCGTCGGGAAACAGCCGCGTCTTCAAGCCGCCTAACCCGTGGATCATGGGGCTCTTCTCGGCCTTGCACGAGGTGCGTTGTGTTGCTGTCGTCGTCAAAGTAGTCGTGTCTGGACTGGCCAGAGTGTCGATGGGTTTCGCGTAGTGGGAAGCACGGGGTGCGTTGTGTTGATGTCGTCAAGAAGTCGTGTCTGGGCGGGACAGAGTTTTGGTGGGTCGATCTCTAGAGCGCACGCGCGACAACGGCAAGCGGTTGCTTTCGTCGTTTGGTTGTGTGGTGATGGTGGCGGCTCTCTCTCTCTCTCTCTCTCTCTCTCTCTCTCTCTCTCTCTCTCTCTCTCTCTCTCTCTCTCTCTCTCTCTCTCTCCCCCCCGCAGAAACTGACTCGACCCAACCATTGCCGCTCGTTGCGGCGAAATACATCGTCGTCTCATCCACCCCCTTCCCCCCCCAGATGTACGAGCTGGAAGACCTCAAGATGAACATCAAGTTCGAGATCGAGATGCTCTGCCAGAAGTTCAACGTGACCATCGCAGACGTGCCCATGTACGGCCGGCTCCGCACGCGCATGACCCCTGCCAAGGAGAAGAACCCGGACTTCAACCTCTCGGCCCACCGGGCCGCGGCCCGCGCGGAAGCCGAGCGCCTGCGCGAGGAGTCGGCGGCCGCGGCCGCCTCGGGTGCCGCGACGACGGCGGCGGCGGGCGGCGGTGCCGGCAACAAGATCGCCGGCGCCAGCGCCGCGGGGTCGCCCGAGGATGGGACGGGGAGAGGGGAGGAAATGGTGAGGGGGGTATACAGGGGCGGGGGGCGGGGGAGAGAGCGGGCGCGCAGGCGGGAGGTGGAGGCGGTGCGGCGCAGAAGCAGCAGGACCAGCAGACGGTCATCCCGAACCTCGCGTCGTACGTGACGATTAACCCTAACCTGGAGGTTTTCGCGGCGCAGCCGCAGCTGAAGGACGTGCTGAAGAGGGTGGTGCCGGTGGCGGTGGACCGGGCCATTCGAGAGATCATCCAGCCCGTGGTGGAGAGGAGCGTGACGATCGCCTGCATCACGTCGAAGGAGCTGGTGCAGAAGGACTTCGCCATGGAGGCGGACGAGAACAAGATGCGAAAGGTGTGTGGCGAACGTCGAGACTCTTGTTATAGTTTTCGTTTTCGCGAGAAACTCTTTTGGTATCTATGTTCGTTGTGGCGTTCGCGTTCTGTTTGGTCCTGCTGGCATGTATGTGTAGCTCGTGTTTGAGTTGGGGCGTCGACGTTGCTTTGAAGCGGGACGAAGACAAAAAATATGCAATTGTTGGGTCGTTTTTTCGTTTTGTTCAAATTTGTTTCGTTGTGCAAGCACCACCAATATCTGCATGGCGTACAGTATCTGCATCCGTTTCGTTTCCTAGTGGTGCATCTTGACAACAACACAAGCAAGAGCCATTCGATTGTCGCCTTAACGTCCTCCGTCCTTGCTTCGTTCCCCTTTTTTGTCACGTCGTTTTGCAATCTTGTCTTGTGTGGTCCAGGCGGCCCACCTCATGGTGAGCAACCTCGCCGGCTCCCTCGCGCTGGTGACGTGCAAGGAGCCCCTCCGGGTCAGCATCGGCAACCACATGCGGTCCCTGCTGTCGACGGCCGCGCCGGGCGCCGACCAGGCCACGACGGAGGGGCTCGTCCACCTTTGCTCGTCGGAGAACCTGGAGCTGGGGTGCATGCTGATCGAGAAGGCGGCGACGGAGAAGGCCATGCGGGACATCGACGAGGCGGTTGCTCCGGCGCTGCAGGCCCGGCGCAAGAGCCGGGAGACCACGGGCCAGCCCTTCTACGACATGAGCATCTTCAACAACCTCCGCTACCCGGGGGCCCTGCCGGAGTCGCTCCGGCCCAAGCCGGGCGGGCTCCGCCCGCAGCAGCTCCTGGTGTACGAGGCCTTTCAGCGGGTGCCGAGGCAGCCGGCGGTGACCCGCTCGCCCGCGGCCGGGCCCACGCCGTCGGGAGGGGGGGCCGGCGGAGGAGCCGGGGGGCCCTCTCCCCGGCTGCTGCCGTCGGAGTCCCCCGCGAGCCCCGCGATGAGCGGCATGCATGGAGGCGGGGCGAAGGCGGTGGCGGGGGGGCGCGGCGGCGCCGGCATGAGCCCGCAGCAGGCGGTGGAGCTGACGCTGGAGCAAGCGCTGACGGCGTGGCAGGCGGCGATCGGGCGGCTGGACATGGCGATTGGAGGGCTGCTGACCGCGCACAGGCGGGCCGGCGGCGGGCCGGAGCTGACGCTTCACGCCGCCAACCGGGACCAGGAGCTGTCGGCCGCGCTGCAGGAGGTAAGTGTGTTTGTGTTGGACCGGAGCGGGATGGGGGGGGAGGCTGAAGACCGTGCTACTTGCTGCTGAAGTGAGCACAGAGGAGAGGGATAACGGGGGGTGGGACGTTGTTCTGTCTTGGTTGAGGTTTGGCTGGACCTTGTTTGCCCGGTGCGGATGTCGAAGTCTCGATCATCAGGGGCCTCTCTGCTTTTCCTGCCGACCTTCGTTGTCAAAGGTGCTATTTTAGCATACATCTATAATATTGGTTGCGGTCGTCGTTGTGAGCATCAAGCTTCGAAGAGTCCCCAAGACATTTTTACCCTAACAGTACCAGCGCCCTAGGCATCAAAGTTCTCGGGCCGAGTTCCACCTGACCGAGAGGCTCAAATTTCTCTCTCCCTCTTTCTCTCTCTCTCTCCCTCTTTCTCTCTCTCTCTCTCTCTTTCTCTCTCTCTCTCTCTCTCTCTCTCTCTCTCTCTATCTATCTCTCTATCTCTCTATCTTCCTCTCGCTCATCTCACTGTGTTGCCTCTCTTTTTCTCTCCCGTTACAACGACGAACCTCTCTTCTTTTTTCGTCCAGATCGTGACCGTCGGAAAGAGCGTGCCGCTGAGCGCGCGAGAGGACGCGCTCACCAAGTTCGCTCGCGCCGTGTTCAACCGTCTGTTCGAGATGGCCCGCGGCAAGGAAGACAACCCGGCCGCGGTTCCCCTGCTGAGAGTGGAGGTAAGAGGGCGAGGTGCTCGTGTTTTGCATACCTTGATCGGCTAGACCGTTGGCCATGCGGGAGGGGGAGTGGGGCGGATGAAAACGAGTCTCGTACGTAATGAATAGACCCCAGAGGCAAACGGGAGCTATCTAGTGGTACTTGTCGGGGGTGATGGTGGGAAGGGTTCATGGTTTGCAAACTTATGGGGAGGGTTGGACAGACAAGACGTAGGGTGTGTTGTCGACCGTGGTCCCTTTCCCCTGTACGATCGTGACTCAGCCAGCACTGACTGGCGGTACTACGGCGTATTGGTGGTGGTGGTCGTCGTCGTCGTTTTTGTTGCCCATCAACATTTTCTTTTTATGTTTTTTTCATTTGCGGGGTCCGCCGCACCTCTTTGCTGCTGCTGTCGTTGCTGCTGCGGTCGTTCGTCACGTGGCCTCACAGGTCTACGCGGCAGTGCTGGAGCTGTGCCTCCGGACGGTGAGGACCTCCCTCGTGTCCGGCCGGAACAAGGAGGACCTGCTCACGCAGTGGTACACGGGGCTGCCCCCTCAGGCGATCATCGGGCCGGGCTCGAGGAAGCTCCACCTCGCCGCACTCAAGTACCTCGTTCAGGTGCGCCCTGGCCGTGGTGGCGTAGGTTTCGCTTGCTCTGTGATGCGTTATTTTTGTGTTTCGATAACTCGATGAATTTTTGTATCCACAGGTCAGAGTCCGGGATAGCTTTGGCAAATGTAGCAGTCCATAGCTTTCGGGTTATTGGTATGTTGTTTTTATTTTCTCTTACAACTAGTTAACTCGAGGGATTTCATCTCTCTTTATCCACAGGTCAGAGCCCGGGATAAATTGGCACATAAAGTAGTCCGTATTGCGTGTGCGGAACGCACCACTACCTGTGTTTTGGTTTATTCTTTTTGGCGTTTCACTTGTATTGCTTCCGGTTTGTGTGTTTTCTCGTCGTTGTGAAGCGCACCTGATGGAGGCTCCGTTTACTCGTCCCCCAAGGTGTCTGGATGTTTGGAAACACGACCTTACGTGTTTAATGGTACAATAGCACCTTTGAGCGTGGAGGAAGAATACCGTAACTGTCAATGAATCGTCGGCAACCTCTATTGCAGCACGCGTTTGTTCTTGGCGCGTCGAGTAAAAGCAGTACGCTGTTTTTCTGTTTTTTTTTCGTTTGCGTTATGGCGGGAAGCAAACAAAAGGTGACATGCTGCTGTACTCTTTCTATATCAAGTCAGTGCCTGGGACACGGGCGTTGTTGCAATTCATTGTTTTTTTTTAAAGCTTTTTGAGATTCGCATGCCTCCCGGCCCCAGTCATATCCCCACGCGCTGATTAGCCCTCCCTCATCTAATTTTTCCGCTTGACTACTGTTGTTGGTGACGCGCTATGCTACGTTGCATACGCTCCAGATGAAGATGGTGGACATGGAGAGGACGGACGCCTTCCTCGCGCGAAGCATCGTCTCTACCTTCGGCGGTTCTCCCGAAGAGGCGGCCAACAAGGGCTCCCAGCTCCACCAGCGCATCCAGCTTCTCCAGGAGGAGTGGGGCCTCTACGCCGTGGCGCTGATCCGGCAGTGCGTGTTCGACCACCCGGACTCGAACGGCCCGGAGGGCAAGGTTTACCGGGTGACCACCATGAAGGCAAGTTTCGGTTTGGTTTGGTTTGGTTTGGTTTGGTTTGGTTTGGTTTGGGGGTGTTGTTGGCCTCCCCGGGTCGTGGTCGTAAGCTTCGAGTACACATGATACCTTTATCGACAGGAGTTTGGTTTCGTGGGAAACGTCGTAGCTGTTTCTTTCCTCGCTTTCGTTCGTTTTTCTTTGCGGTAAAACGCTGATTGTGGTTCCTCCCTCTCTCTTTCCCTCCCGCGTTTCCTCTTTTTTTTTTTTTTCAAAAACATTGTTGCTTCACATGGACGTTTTACACGTTTATAGCAGTCGTTCGCGAAAACATTGGAGACGTTGAGCCACCTCCAGGGGGACAAGAAGCCGGTGCTGGCTCAGCAGTTCCTGCACCTCATGTCGGAGCTCAGAGTCGCCACACACCCGGACCAAGTCAGAAAGGTGGGAGTGACACAAGAGACAACGGTACGGTGACAAATACCTTTGGGTGGAGGGGGTACTCATAGCCGTGCATGCCGTAGTCGTTAGACCATTGACCTCGCATCAGCACAAAGCCGGGGCGGAGCACTCCGGGTTCTGGTGTGGGGGGTGTTGAATATACTGTACCCCTTCCGGGAGGCTTTGCGCTCCTGGCCAACAGTACGTACCCTATGCTTGTACCCGGCCGAGGGCAAAGTCAGTTTCCTCCCGGCTTGAGGGTTGTGAGCACATACAAGAGCCGAGGCTACAGCAGCAGCGGCAGCGGCGCTAAAACGTTTCTCATTTTTTTTTTGTTTGTGGCAACTGAAGACCTAACGACCGGCCAACGTCGTATCACTCGTGCTGCTGCTGTTACTATAATATGATCAAATTACACCCACAAGAACACTTTGAAGAACTGAGTTCCCACCTTTCTTCCCTGCCTGTTTTGCGGATATATCCTGATTCTGTTATTTACGCCTACATGGAAATCGATGTCTCCTTGTTGCCACGTACTCTGTACTGTACGTGCAGGCACCACCGAAGAGCCCTTCGATGCATGCCATGTCCCCGGCGGGAGGACCCCGTGTGGCCCCCGGCACTCCGATTCCGGGCCCGACCGCGGGCCCGGGCGCAAACGCCGGGAGGAACGACCCCGCCGGCATCCGTGATGACGTGAGTGGTGGTGGAAAAATAAACATTTGGGGGGGGGGGGGGGGGGGTGCGCACGCTGCTGCAGACCTTGGTAAAGAAAATCGTGACACGGCCATGATTGTTGCTGCTGTCGGCCAGGCGGGTGGATGAAAAGCTTAGGCAGTCGAGCGCGAATCGGAGATATTCGATGCTTCCCTTGGCGTCAAGGGATTTTCGATATTGGTGTTTGCGTTCCTTGTTCAATGCACGTGACGACAAGTGGCGAACTCTTTGCTCTGAAATAGACCATTAGTAAAAAGGCTGCAGCCGGCATGTGCTCATTTTTCTGTTGGGCGTTCTCGTGTCGTCCACGCTGCCATGCAGGTGACGCACATCTTGCACTACTGGATGCGGGTGGTGAGCGACAGCACCGCCAGCGAGGAGGCGAGCTCGGCCGCCATCCTGCAGGCGCTGCACGTCAAGAACGTGCTCAAGACGGACGAGGTGCAGCACTAGGGTTGTCGTGTTGTTGACGATGGTGCGGTTTATCCGCTTGTTCATTACCTCGTCGTGGTGTTGCAAGTGGCGGCGGCGTCAACGGTGGGCTGCTTATTTTCGCGTTTTTCATGCCATCGTCGTGGTGTTGGCGAAGGCGGTGACGGTGCTGTTCGTCCGCGTTTCTTACCCTCTTGTACTTGGAGTTCCTCTCTTGTCTATAATAGAGAAAGAACTCCTGGCGTTGACGACGAGGCTGGGACTGTTGTTGGCTCGTCTCTCGCGGGGGTTAGGTACAATACTTGGGAGAAAGAATGGCCACTCGTTGCTTGCAGATTCTGGGTCGCGAACACCCGCCTAACGTACCCCTCGTCGAGATATGTAGCTAGGTTTCTGTCATTCCCACACGGCGTGCAGCGGTTATCGACGGCTTGGGCTCCTCGAGACGATTTCCCCCCCTCTTTTTTGAGTATATGTTTACAAACGTCAAAGAGTCGGACATGATGTTAGACCCTCCTCCCCCGCCACCCCCACCCCCACCCCCCCTCCCCTATGCTTCCCCGTGTTGTCTCTCTCTCTCTCTCTCTCGCGGGCGCGCCCTTCGTTCCGAAAAATGTGGGACCAATCATCAATCATCAGTCGACGGAGCGTTTCTTCCGCGTGGCGACGGACCTGGTCGTGGACGCCTGCGTCAAGACCGGGAGGGCACCAAGTGTGACCCTCGCCATGGGCAGTTCTCCGGAGGACAAGGCGAAGCAGCTGTCGTACGTGGTCGTCGACGCCTACGTCAAGCTCCTGGTCGTGGTGGTGAGAGATAAGGGGGGCGTGCTCATGTTTTGGTAGGCCTTAGGGTTATAGACCGTTGACCACGCGTCCTCGAGATGGCGGAGGGGGGGGCGGGGGGCGGGAGAGAGATGGTCTTTTGGTTTCGTTGGAATTAAGGGCACTGCCGTTTTTTTCGATGTTGTCGTACTAGGGTTGAGAACGGATTCGCTGCTTCGTGTAAGATTTTTGTGCTGTTTTCGTTCGATAAGAATACAAGAATATATTGGAGGGGGGGGGGGGGGGGGGGGGT